AAAAAAAAAGCACCGAAATAAAGCACCGAAATGTGCGCTGCTTTTCGGTCTGGTTACTACCGTTTATGTCAGAACCAGTGCCATCATGGCACCGGACACCGGTACCCATCCCTATAAACGAATAACTAAATATGAATAATTAGCTTGTGTCTCTAGAGTGTGTCAAAGACCAAGTACCTGCGTCATCAGTTTTTCTACATCTGTGCTAACATAATGTAGCTTTTTCCTAATGTTCAGCTGCTAATAACAGGCAGTAAAATGTCACTTTACAGAGAAATTACAGCTGTTAAACTGCTACCAGCCTAGTTATATATAAAGTTTACTTCATAGATGTCCATAAATACATGTCACTGCTGATGTATGTCCTCCTCCTGTGTGTGTATGTTGTGTTATTTAATGAATTTCCAGACGTGGAACGCACTTCACTGTTAATACATACAAATATAAAAAAGCACATGTTTGTGGTCACGCATGCTGTAAGGTCATGCTTTTAAAACTGGAGTAAGAAATTACTTTACGGTGTAGTGACAGACCTTGAAAGCAGTTCACTGTACTACTGGGTAAAATGGTAAAGTCATATTGGAGGGGAATAAAAAGGCATATTGGCGTTAAACGAGTCTACTTAAAAGGCTGATCATTAGTTCATGTTTTGACAGTCGGGTGAAGCTCAGTATGACTAATCTGGAGTTACTGGGCTCTCTCAGGTGTTTCCAGAGGAGTTGGCTTCATTCGTTTTGACCGGCGAGTTGAGGCTGAGGAGGCCATCAAGGGTCTGAACTGTCAGAAGCCGCCTGGTGCCACCGAACCCATTACAGTCAAGTTTGCAAACAACCCGAGCCAAAAGACCAGCCAGGCGCTGCTGTCCCAGCTCTATCAGTCACCCAATCGAAGGTACCCAGGACCCCTCGCACAGCAGGCACAACGCTTCAGGTAAAAGGGGCACACCAAAAAAGTATAATACTGCTAGTGAAGCTGATTTTGTTGACCCTCTGAGGTTTTTGGATATTAGCATTTAAATTGTCTCACTGGCAGTATCGTGAAAATATTCTGTGTCGGAGCTCGTCGGTACTCTGGGCAGAATATATCATCCCCATTATTACATTGACTTTGCGGCATGTTGCAGACGTAGGCCTACCACACAATCGGGTTTAAACAGATTTTTGGCAAATGTGGAAATGAGATGAGCAATGAATGAACAAATTGTGCAAGTTAGTCCAAAAAATGTGTTAATTTTCAGTGTGCTGATTGATGTCAGTGGTTGTTAAAGCTGCCACCCTGTCAGCCTAATTGACCCTTTTTCTGTATGAACTGCAAGTCTCCTGTTGGCTGTGTTGTGAAGGATGACTGGGGAAAATTTAAGTGGAACAGCAGACTTTAATCGTGGTATCAGACCCATTACTCATCTTTGTCATCCTGTCAAAACTCATCAGCTTCCTGAAAAGTTTCTTTCTTATAAAATTAATTTGTCTGTTGGTGTTTTGCTTTTTTAAGGTTGGACAATCTGCTGAACATGGCCTACGGAGTCAAAAGGTAAATTGACTTTCTGTTTTAGATTCTGTAGTCTGCCTTAATTGATCCTTGAGGGAAATTCCGAGCTAACGCGAGGGAGCTGATGGGATACATTTTGTTGTTTATTTCCTATGAGCTCTATGGCAGCATTGTGTAGGTAGTTAACACTGCATAAAGTGGCACTGATTCAATATGAGACTGCTGCTCAAAGCAAATGCTTTTCTGTGCATCCACAACAAATATACACACAATTCAGTTGGTGCGGGTGAATCAGGCTGTTTGTCTTCACAGTAAGTCATGATGTAAATATTGAACAGCTGCTGCAGATGCCTAAAGGCAGACCTGTGTATGCTGAGAGCATAGGCTGGAGGGGCAGGGTCTCTCCATTGTGTTAGACCAGCGCAGGATGTCAAAAACTACCTGCTAAATTTATCTGATTTAAGTCGCTCTTACTGCCTGATGTGGCATCGTTTCTGGTTTGGTTTACAATTTCTAAAGCATAAATAACATGACTGCATTGTCTGTAGGTTGCTAACCGGGTCGATATCCTTTAATCTAATTGAGTATTTAGTGCGTTAATATACTAAAGAGCAGCATGTGGTCTGCTCAGCTGCCATGTTGGAGAATCTGAAGTGCAGTTTGTGGCAAAATGTGATGACTCTTTATGGTTTGAACAAAGCAGAGTCTCTGTATCTTTGGGGACACGGAGGTGACTGCTTTAGTGGCCATGCTCAGTGTTTAACATAAACGGGTTTAGGTATTTGTCCGTTAAACGTGTTCTCTGAAATAAGGAAACTGTATAAAATCAGCTGCTGGTGATGCAGTGGAGCGCTTTAATCTAGAGCTAATGTCACAACGTGTGATAGATTAAAGCACTGTCTACGCCGCTTGTCTACATAACAAAGGGCAGACTCTTACAATCTTACTTGCTATTGCACAAAATTGCACGTTTGTATTGAGCTTTGCACTCTTACCTTGATCTATTATGGACAGCCCTGTCCTGTTTTAAACTTTGTTGCGTCAGACGTCTTTCAGGATTCGCCGGGATACCAGTTTGTCTCAGTTCAGTTTTATAAGAATGTCTTCCTCGTGTGTGATTGAAGTCCAGTTCCCTGGAAGCTCAAAGAGCCGTCACCAGCAGCAATAGACGTGCGATTTCTCCTCTGCCGTGCTCGTTGGCTGACGTCTTGGTTGCCAAATTTCTCCGTGGGTCCTTGATGCTGGGAGCACACCTGTCATAGTGGATGTTCCCTGAGAGGCCAAGTGGAGCAGCTAATCTTGTGTGACACCTGCTGCAATAATTCATAGGCTTTTCATGCACTTTGAATTTTGTTTCTTAAATCTGCAAAAGCACACTTACCGAAGGCCAGAGCCTTTCTGTGCCTCGTTATTATGCTCTTGGCAACTGCCGCGTTTATATAGAATTTATTTCCCTTTATGATTTGCCAGTTTTTGATTTGGAGGAAATAATTTCCTTTGCAGTTGTGAAGCTACAAACTAAATGTGTGGGGAGTAGCTCGAGGACTGAATCTGTGCATTTATTCTGAGGGTTGCTGCTCAGGTGACTTGCTGCAGAAGATGAAGGAAGTGTGTTTAGTGAAAAATCTGATTATGTAATTCCTGAAATGAAAGAATGGCACTAGCACCATATGGCCATAGAAGCATCCATGGCTCACGATGTGTGGGTAGAGCTGATCCCTGCAGAGACTTGTCACACTCTGTTAGGCTTGTTGGTACGATCTCCTGTCTTATAAAATGGCCCGTTTTGTGCTCATTTTGGCTCTTGCCTTGAACCATGTTACTTTTTGTGTTTTAACAGCAGGTTCTCCCCGATGGCCATTGACGGGGTGACCAGCTTGGCTGGCATCAACATCCCGGGGCACGCGGGCACTGGCTGGTGCATCTTCGTCTACAACCTGGCTCCGGACGCAGATGAAAGCATCCTTTGGCAGATGTTCGGGCCGTTTGGTGCTGTCACAAACGTCAAGGTTATCCGCGACTTTAACACAAACAAGTGCAAAGGATTTGGTTTTGTCACCATGACTAATTACGACGAGGCAGCTGTGGCCATCGCCAGCTTGAATGGATACCGCCTTGGGGACAGAGTTCTGCAAGTGTCATTCAAAACCAACAAAACACACAAAGCCTGAAACTCAGATTGTTTCTAGAAAACTCACCAGAAAATGGAAACAGAAAATGGAAGCGTATTGACCGTAACTTTCTACATTAGTAACAAGAGCTTTGTAAATCAGTGTTGCGAAGAAAAACGATATTTAGCGTCCAACAATGTGATCTCTTTTTTTTTCCTTCTCTTTTTTCCCATTGCTACACTTTGAATCTTCTCTATACTTTCAAACAGAAAAATACCTGCAGGTCTTGATGCCTGTCATGTTGACTTCTCTTGCTGTCTTTACAGATGGACCATCTAAAATGTTACTCTAGGTTTTGTCATTTTGTTGCACATCTGCTTTGAAACAGTAAGTCTTGTAAGGTTATGTGTAGTGATTTTTCTTTGTACTTCTGTGTCCTGATTTGCCACACGTGCGTTTATGCCTTCGGTGGTTAGCAAGTACTTGCGTTGAACTATTTGCGGTTCTGTTGATTTTGTAAGTATTCTGTTTCCTGTAATATCAGTTGGTTATTGGTTGGCTGCATAATGTTGCTTATTGTACAATTAACAGATAAAAAGACAAAAAAAAAGATTCTTAAAGCAGTACCTTGCCAAAGAGCTAAGAACCTCTTTGATGTGGGTTTAAAAGCATCTATTTTTATAAAAAGAAAAATTTGGAGAAACTTTTTACTGGACCTGGAACAAAATATTTTGACTTGGATACTTTGAGAAATATCTTCATATGACACCTTGTGAGCTTTTGAACTTTACAAGAAAGTTTGCAGTGGTTGAAATTTCTGGAGAGATTTATGATGTAAAAGATACCTTTTGAGATCTTTGTATTACCTTTAGATTATAGAATCAGTGGCAGTGCTGGTTTCATTTGTAAAATCATCTGTGGGTCCCCCCCCCTCCCCTCGGTCGTCTGGTCGTTACGGCTAGCGACTCGCTTTCCGGTCTGATTTGGAAATGGACAAAACTTCAAAGGTTGATCTGCAAAAAGTGCATGAAAAATTAAAAACATGGAGATATCATAAAGGTAAATGGGGGATTTAAAAAAAGGGAAAAAGAAAAATCAGTTCTTCCTCTAAGATTCCCTTCAGATGGAGCTCATGGTGTTTTGTGGTGTATCTACAATATCATTAGACTGATTTTTGTCTTAATATCAACCAATGAGGGTTTTTACATACTTTGTATGAAAGATTGAAGACAAGCCAGTGAAGGCAGCAGCATCAAAAAACAACTAGCGTGACAAATAGAAGGGTTCCTCCTGAGCTTTGAGCTGTGTAAATAAGTCCTTTTTTATGTTGAGTACTTGGCAGACTTTGGTTTTTGTTTGGACTTCATTGAAAAGTGTGATTATTATATACAACTTTCTTTTCAGGACTGTGTAAGGTCTTTTTTTTGTTTTTGGATCTTTATTTTCAGTTTCTCTTCAGTTGAAATACTTGAGTTGTCGTCCTATGGACTAGCATTAGTGCATCAGATTTGTTGGTTGTTAGGTCTGTAGATAGTCTTGCTTCGTTAAAAAAAAAAAAGGTATTAAGAAACTATAGACATTTGTTTTGGTTTTTTTATATATAAACATTATAGATATATATTTATGTGGTAAAGAATGGATATAAACCACAGTTTTGAACTATTTGATTACTTTTTTCATACTCATATCTCTATATATAAATATATACGTAATGCATATAACCTGTCTTTAAAATCGTAAAAAGGTGTATATTGCTTTATTCACTTTGGGGAAGGGCGGTGAAGCAGTTCCATTAACAATAGCAAAGTTGGTTGCAGAAGTTTGTCAACATCTAGCTCATCTCGAACACATGAATGGAGGCTGGTTGAGCCTTAGATGCACTGAATACTGCACCTGCATCCTGCTTGGTATTTCAACCGATTATTAGTCATGCTTCCCCTTAAACGAGCAGTGTGCTATGCATTATATAATTATCTTTGCAACTGCTTTTTCTTGTTTATCTATTCCTTCTTTGTGTTACTTGTACAAGTTAAACTTTAAGTCTAGATGAGTTGTGATACTTGCTGCTGTAGGGAAGAGACAACATTTGTCATGCCTGACCTGCCACTGCTGAGAATAAGTTTTGTTTTTCCTTTATGTAACCGCTTGATGTTTTTTTTTGTTTTTTTTTTCTTTTCTCTATTTATTTTCTTTTTTTCCTTTTATTTTTTATTTATTTATTTATTTATTTTTGGTCTTGGGAAATTGTGCTGCAGGTCTGGCATGAGGAAATGTTTCCTCCCATCCCTCTTTTCTCAATTCTTAATATGAGAGTGATTATTTATTTGAAGTTGTATAGTCTGACTTGGTTCACAGCATTTTTGGAATAGAATCTTTTTGTTAAGTATTTAAAAGGATGTACATGTTCTTTACTTTGTGTTTGGATACTTTTGGATTTATTTTTTTTTCCATGTTCAGTACATCAATAAATAAGTTGAAGGGCAATGAAGCTTTGTGATTGGATCATTCCTGTTTCCTGTCTGACAGGAAACTGAGTTTTATTAACTACATGCTGAAATGTTTAGTTTTAAACTGTTGTGCTTTAAGCTGGAAACGACCCCCCATTAACTAGCCAGTCTAATTGCTTTGCTTTTCACTTGACAGTTGCTCAAATGTTTCAGTACTTAGGCTTCCTTTAAAAAAAAGCAATATGCAGTTTTTAACTTTGTTTAAATGATATGATGCACTTCCCTGCTGATGGGCAGATTTCCGGGCTTTTAAAGCTCTCTGCTTCTGTAGTAATTCTCTCCACGTACACGAGAAAGCCAAATAGATTTGCAGAATGTTTAAATGCCCGGTGACTCAAACTTTACTGGCAGTGAAATGGTAGGGTTCATCTTTTCTAAATTAAATTGGACAGGATTTATTTTGGAATGAAGTAGCCTTAAAGTGGACCTGTTATTAACGGCTCAGTCTTCCCTATTTAGTACTCGTCCTTGGTGCAGCGCTTCAGTTCATCCACCGTCTCAAACAAGCTCGACTGGTACAAAGGGCTGTGCCACGAAAATGTCCAGCAGCAGCCTGAACTGCTCATGCAAGCCCGGATGGATCCATGCTTTCATGTTCAAGTCTGACCCCGACTCACGCATTTACAATCTTCTATCATTCAACTGTTTCCTGTTCTGGGATGACAGTGTCCTGCTACTGTAGTAATCTGCTCCAAGATTCAACATGTTCATTCACAGATGCTCTTCTGCAGAACTTGGTTGTAACGAGCGGTTATTCGATGTAGTTGCCCTCCTATTAGTGCAAAGCAGTCTTGCTGTTTTCTTCTGGTCTCCACTACAATATTTTCCTTTTTGGACATTTCTCTAAACCTTAGATGGCAGTGTTGGGAAACCAGTAGAGCAGTTTCTGAAATATTCAGACCAACCTGTCTGGCATCAACAACCAGTTTGAACTTTAGCAGGCTGTGTTAACGTGTGACCAAATTTGCATTTTAAAGCAATTGAAAGTGAACCTAATAAAGTGGCCACCTTTTACTGAAACCTTACGATCATGAGACGACACTTTTAACCCACCCAACTGCTTCACTTTGCAAATTTTGGGGTGTGAGGAGGGGTTGCCACTGTAGCTGTACCTTCTTAGCTTTTCACTGCACTGTAGTACTGAGGTTGGAGTAGCTTAGATACAATATTTGAAAGTGCTGAACTTGAAATGTTTTTAAAAAAAAAATGCTAATCTATTTTCAGGTTTCTTCTGCAGGAGGTTGAGGTATAATTGGGGCACAGTTCAGGTGCTGACTTGAATGTTCCAACACAAAGAGCAGCGCAAGGCTTGAAGGAAGAAGCCTGGTCTAGAGTATTGATTTCTTTTTCTTTCTCCCCTTCCTTTTTATTTTTTATCTCATGCTCCACTTGAGGCTGACGGTCGCTGATGAAATGGCCTGCTTTGAAGTGCGCTTCCCTACAGAGCAGCCACCTCACACTGCCCGACTGTCATTTTAGGGGCACTGCAAGGACGTAGATGGGAGCTGCTTTATAAGCCAGTTGCTTTTTTTCTTCTCTCTTCCCCCTTTTGTAAAGAAAGCATTTCTGAAGTATCCACTGTTTTTTTGGGGGGAGTGGGGTTTCAGCACACTGCGCAGTTTAATGAAAACAATATTTATGGCATGCTCAGTCATGTAGTCATTCTAGCTCTCTGTTTGGCTCCAGCAGATAAGAAGGCTGCTCTTTGAGCTCCTTATAAAGCTTCCCCTCCGATATTTACGGTTCCATTAGTCTGCGTGCGCGGGCAGAAATGTCTTTCCCTGAAAGGAGTCGTTTTTTTGGGTTTTTTTTGTTTAAAAGCAGTGTCAATATTAAGATTTCATGACACTTCTCTGGTTTGTGGATCTTTGCTGGAAACGGATGATGTGTGAGGGAGCTTTGGCTGAGCGACGGCGTGCTTGGTTTTTATCTGACGTGTTAGCGGCTCTTCTCACAGCTGAAACTGGTCTTATCGTGGCACTACAAATGATTTTGAACTGTGCAGTGATTACATGCTGCTAGTGAAAACAGGATTAGGCTTCAGCAGTTAACGGGCGTCACAGACGAGTTGGTGTGAGTTTGTAGCACGTTGTGCTTTTAGTTGTTTGACATAAAGAAATGCATTTTCAGTGGGTTTCCTCCAGCTGTGCACTGAATCAGCAGTGTTTTGGCAGGTGCGGAAAATTGCATCGACTTCTCTTTGAATGCTCGTTCAAAGATTTCATTCAGATCGCAAGATGAAGCACAAAGGACTAAAAATTAGCTTTTTGACTTTGACGGGGATACCGTGTTATCCTCTGACAGTCCTTGCAATCTTCTAATCATGCTGTGTATAAAACATGAACATGATCAATGTGTTTTTGACTCCTCCTCCTGAAGCCTTCAGGTTAGCAGTTAGCACCTTTAGCTTACACAACTAGATTGCTTGACTGATTCACCGAAGCTTGTGAGTTTCATGGTTTTAATGGACGGTTCACTGCAAAATTAAAAACTACTCAAGACCATAAAGAGATAAACGAACTTGAGCTGCTGATGTTTCCTCTGCTGTTAAACTGTTTCTTGGATAATTTGAGTTTTCCCAAGTTGGAAAGATGATTTTTCACTTTGCGTTCGTGTGTGCAACAATCAGCTGCTTGTAGCCATGTTTTGTGTTCGACATCAACATCGCTGCATCTCTTACCAAAAGT